TAATACATATACGACGGGATGGCAAGGGGGGGGGGCAGTAATAATGAAAAATAATACAATATTTTAGACCCACCTGGCATGAAAACGTGTACACGAAAAGAAACTGGCCGGATGCACTAAATCAATCAAGGCACTCAAGTGCATGACGTCACGCACGTCTCCATTCTCCTGCATCGCGCGCGAAGCACCAATGAGTATACAGCGACCGCAGTGACTGAAGTGTATTTTATTTTAGTAAAGGTTTTTAAAGAACATAATAGTAATGTATAAGTTTAATATGATACGTATAATGTATATGTACAATATACACACTTACTACATAAAATTCCCACAAACACACACCACGCCACACATATCTCGTATATATATTATTACGTATTAATAATTAACAAGGTGTTTCTGACAAAGAGTGTACATATTACGTATTATAAAGATTTCCAAAACATTTGGGTACTCATTTGACGAGCAACTAAATACCTCTGCAATAATTAATTAATCCAATATAGAGACTTATGTTTATAACAGCTGCTAAAAACGATCGGTTGAAGTTTCAACATCGAAGTTCGGTTCAAAATTTAAAACAATTTTAACATAAGTAATATATTGACGAACATAAAATATTATTACATTAACTCTATTTTAAATTATCCAACTTAACTAACTATATCCTTAATAAGAAGAGACACTTAAAACTTTATTTTATTTCAATACTATACACTATATGGTAAACAATTAATAGCATTTATTCATATCATGTTGAATCCTAGTCAAATTGAATAAAATTTCACTTAGGTATATATATTTCAAAATTTTACACATACGTACTAAAAGTTAAAACATTTGTTTTTTTTCTTTACATATATATATTATATATACCGATAAACTCAATTTTGCGATCGATAATTATAAAATTTAAAATACAAAATATACTTCACAGGATAAAATTAAAACTCATATATTATTTAAATACTTTTCCTATTGAGACTTTTTTACTTAATAAATGTTTTTTCCATAGAAATTAATTGTTAAGAATGTATTCTTTGTTTCTTTGTCATTTTTTGTATGTATATCTATATTTGTAAATGTTTTGGAAACGCAAATACGTGTGCTTACTGTTTATTAATCCAAGGGATGGAATCAAAAGGGTAATACAAACCCCTTTTTACTAACAATACAATAAATAAGTTTATATAGAAGCTTACTTAATTTACAACTTTAGCTTAATATTTATATTCAAGTTTATCAGAATAATGTAAAACTAATTTAAGTTTCACACTTTTGTACAATTTAAATGTTAAAATTTAAACCGTAAAATAAATAACGTTAGAAATGTATAATAAGTACAATTAAAAGTAAATATGGTACTGGTATCTACCTGATGCCAAACTTCTATAAATATTTAACCAAAAATTAATTAACGAAATACGTATACACTATATACAGTATTCCTATCTACATCAAAACGAGTCATTTACAAGTCATATTATTTATGCTTTTCCACTATTCTTTATTTCTTTCTTTATAAAAACTAATATATTATTCTTTACTTATTTTACTATTTTACTTAACGTCTATTATATTACTGTAACTACTAAATTACTATTGTCTACTTGCAAGTTGCAAGTACTAGTAACTACTATAAAACTCGTATAGGTATTATGTATTATGTTTCAATACAACTGCAGCGTGTTCCTGTTTTAAAACTTTCCTATAGTCTATTATAAATAATAAATATATATGTATATATAATACTATAGTAAATTGTTTTAAAATCAACCATATAACACTCGATCCATACACAATTTTACTGAGATTAAAAAACATTAATTATCAAATCGCCGACAAGACGTAATAGGTATATATACAAAACACAATTATCAACATCGGCAGCACAACCACAGGTAACCGGCGTATCAAGGTGTTATGCTGCAAGTTGTTATTATTATTACGATTATTTATAGAATCACACATCACGTATTTACATAATACTTAAACACGCCAACACATAACTTAAGATGCGATAATGCTCAGTAAAGTCGGATTTAATTGACTGTACGGTCTCGTTGTTGGTACTATTTTGTTTTTGTTATAAGCCGGCGGCCGCGACCGTTGGAACCCGCGGGTCTCACCTGGCCTAAAGGCCGTTCAGGTTTATCGCTACCGGTTCATAATGAAAAAAAAAACTCGCGCGTGCGCCAGCTATTATAGAGCCTACCAACGCCGGTTGCACGCGTTGACGACCCTTTTCTTTCTTTTTGTTGTTTCCCCCGTACGATATTTAAAAACGGATTCGCCCCGGAGCTGTCGATAATCCACCGCTTTAAAAATGACCCTTGATACAAATTCTATTCCTCCCCAACCCTCTCCGCCGTATCGCAAACAGGGGGAGGAAATAGTCGGGGGCTTGTGTTATTGTAAGGTTTACAATAGTATAACGAAAAAAAAAACAAGTATATTTTCATTTCACCTGGTACGGAGGGCGCGTGGCAAAAATCTGTGGACCAACGGACGAAGGTTGGAGGGGGTTGACGTCCCCCGGATGATTAATTTCGCACGGTTGATCATCACAGACGCGCAAGCTAAATTAAACGTCACCCCCTTGGTCTTGCTGATACCTACTGGACAAATTTACATCGAAACGTAATTTGTATTATGATGAGTTGCTTTTACGAAAGCCGATAAAAAAATTTAAAAATATAATAACTTTAGTCTCATATAATCTGAGTTTTTCCAATGGTGAGAAATTAGCTGTTAAAATTATTTTGTACTAGAAACTAGATGCGTACGCAATATTTGACTATGATATTTATAAATTATAACTTATGAGACGTACTTAATCATAACAATTAAATAGTAAATTAAATTAATTTATGTATGACAGTAGAATTTTCACAAAACTTTTTAGAAATGTCTTTAGGTTAAGATAATTAAAAAATTAAGTTTGAGGATAGGCGAATAAATATGATTGCTTTGAATGGTATGAATATAATCTAAAAATGCACTTATAAAGTAATAAGTAATAATGTAGAATTACAATATGCAATTAATTATTAATTAGGAATTGCCGCCAATACATAGCAAGACGAATACATTAAAATCGATTAAATATTGTTATACTATTAGCTATTCTAAAGTAAACATTATGGACTGGTAGTACCTATATATATACTTAATATTATAGAAGATAGATTAAACAAATACTGTTACATTTAAATTTGAATTTTGAATTATCTTAAAAAATATAATGATTCTTAATATTTAAATATTTACAATACCATTTTCCATTATAAACGATACATAATTATGAATTATAAAAAATGTCACGTCTGTGTATTCACACAACTCAGGAAAACAGAATTCTGAAATTCTAAAACTAAGTTCATAGATATAGTTTGATTAAATTATGATTAAATAATAATACAGTAAAGTAATTTACGCGGATAAACGAAACAGTCCATATTACAAATGCATTTGTTGTTAAAGCCCTAATAAATTATGATAAAAAACCTACGCGTTCTAAACCAGATTAATTCAATAATTGGATTTTATGAAACTAAACATTGTAAAATACACCTAAAACGTTAAACAAAAATGTAACAAAACGTATAGTATATACTTACCTATAAATTGTAAATAAAAATAAATAATGATAAATACGAAAGACCATAATATTATGTTATATTATGTTACAATTTTAACTTTTAAATTAATGTACAATTGTAAAGTATAATATAGAATATAGATAAAATAGACAAGATATAAAATACATATATAAATTATCAGTAGTTATAACTAAATAAAATAAATAACTAGATAGAATTTGATTCCTCGTTAATTATACTAACGGCTAATCTAAACGAGAACTCCATAAAAAAGATTTAACGAAGACTCAATATTTTTACACGTTTACTACAAAAAATATTACTATAATACTATATCATATATCAATACATCATACTATCTTGTTCTCGTATACAGATAAAAGGACAATTATATAAATATATATCGTATAATGTCACATGTGTGTAACTTTAATAATGTTAAAACGAATTAATTAAATTATATATCTTATCTATACAGATAGAAATCCAGACTGGTTGGATAAACAAATTACTATTTTTATTTTAACTCATTTTAATTGAGTTGAATGTCAACTGATTTTTTTATAATTTGTTAAATACGTTTTTTAAATGTGTTTGTTTATTATTTTTACCTACTCTTTTAATTTGACGAATTGTCAAATTTATTACACACTGGAGAGTGATATGAAAAATTAAAAGAAAAGTTATTGGCTCTATTCACACACAGGTTCACACAAAGTGAATATCATTTACGAAGTAAGTATACATATTATAGGCAGTTTACCTACTATTGTTTTACTACACAATAGGTATATGTTGTGTCATACACACAGTGATCATAATATGTATGGTATAAGGTGGTTAAACTGGAGAACCGGTTTATTTTAATTTTAATGTCGTTTCAGACAATAGCGAAAAAATTAAACAAAAACATTGCAGCCAGGGATACCATAGGGGATGATGATCTAATTTCAGGCTTTAAAAAAATAAACCGTTATATATGAATCAGCAACACTCATTGTCGTTACAATCCTAAATGTATATAACGCCCTTAAAATCGCAAATGTCATTTGTTATATGCGATATAGTAGGGTGAACAAAAAAAAAACAGGTGAACCCTTAGGGGTAAGAGGGTGACGTCACACGTGGGTGGCGGCGGTGGTGGCAGCCATGTTGCCCGGTAGTATAGTAGCACGTGCCAGCGGCGACCGTGTGACCGCCCTCGCGGCGTCAAAGAGGGTTAAAAAACACAATGGCCCCAAAAATCTTCGGCCGATCTAACGTGATCTACATATCATAGAAAAACACTCGGGATGCATCGCTGAGTCGTCTATTGAATGATCGACGAAATGCAGAAAATCCTATTCCTACAACTACTAACTACCTACTATAGGTATATACGAACGAAGAAACACTTACCATTTTTTCGCTGAGGTTTTGCTTGTTTCCTCCTTCCTCTGGACGGTGACAAAAGTTCCACAGGCCTGTTCTGATCCTCTGTTAATGATTCCATTTCTCATTGAAACGGTCGTACCATCCACAACAGCAGGTCCCATCAATTTCCTCTGGCAACCGGATGAATAATGCGCCGCACTGAGTGTGTCGTGTATGTGTGTATGTATGTATAATATTATATAATAATATATAGTATATTGAAGCGATTTTTATAGTTTAAGTTGATGTGATTTTTTCGTACAAAATATAGAATAATATATATATTACAATATAACGACGGTATTATAATAATATGTTTTACTTTACAATATATTATGTGTTTGCGTGTGATAGAAAAATAATTTATGCGATAAAAACGAGAAGCGCACTTTTGACGAGGTATATTAATATGTCGAAGGATCAAAGTCGGGGTGGAAGTGGGGAGGAAAGGATTAGGGGGTGGTCAAGTCCGACTGGGAAAAAAATGACGTACGGACGAGGTGTCGTCGGACCGCGAACGGGCCGTCGTCGGGACGGAAGACGGGCGAAAAGACGTGAAGGAGGAAGAATAGAAGAAGAGCATAGTACGCGCGGAGAGCGGGTGAAAAGTGCGCGGCGCGGACGTCAAACCACCGGCATTGCTAGTCCGGACTGCTGATATCGTCGCCGCCGCCGTGGACGCGCGCACCGTTTCCAGGGGGACCGTCTGAGTGCAGCACACGGCATACACGCGTTGCGTTGTTCCCTATAGGCGGCGGCGGCGGAGTACGATCGGCTTCGGTGGGGAGGTGGGTTTGGGGTGAAGGGAGACGACGACGGCGATGCGTCGAGACGGCTGGTCGTCGGCGGCGGCGGCAATTTATCGCGAACGGTGAATCAGTGATCGCACCGTGGCGTGGGGGTAAGTGGGCGTGTTGTAATCCTTTCACACGATAAAATTGATCTCCGCCGTAACTGATGTCACATTACCCTAGATTCGCGTTCCGCGAACGTGGTGACGGGTTCCGGTGGTTTTCTGGTTTTTTTCGTATATTTTGCTCGTATTTATTGTTGTACGCAAGTTTATGTATATTTTTCATTTTTTAATTTTTTACCCGAGGTGACGAAATATCTACTATTTGGCCATTATACTGCTGTACCTTTTGCCGAAAGCTAACATTAATATATATCACTATAAATCGCATACAATCATATATATAATCATAATCGTAATGCGTATAGTTCTCAAAATAAAACTTTTATAATACATCTATCGCATCCCGACAATCGTCTATAAAACTGCTGTAATAGTAAAATCATCCAAAGAGAAAGATCTAAAACTGCTACAAGTATCGCGCATGGTTTGTCATATTCCTCGTAAAGTAGTCTCAATTTAACGATGGATGTAAATTTAAAATGTCATAATATTTTTTTTTCGCTTTCGTTACTATCACAATTATTAATAATAGATATAGCCGTATAGGCATAGTCGCATAGATATTACTATATTAACAGTATTTACCAATTGCCAATTTTTAATTTTTAAGCTATGATTTCATAACATTATTGTTTATTACGTACCTATTAATAATTTTTAATCGATTATTTTATAAAGATAATATATTTCAATTTTACTAATAGGTAGGTAGGTACTTTTATTTTAACCTACCTATACTAGTATATACTATAGTATTGTGGTCTAAGTTTGACTAAAAATTTGTAAATATGTTACTGTCAATTAAGTAATTTAGGTAATAAGTATAACGTATGCCTAGCCATTATTACTATTAATGCCTAACATTACTTTATATAGTCTCAAGACGGCATGGTGAATGTCTATATAGGCATTAACAAACATTATTATAGATAATGTTATAAAAATCAAATATTATTAGAATACATATTTTACAACTATGACTATAGGATGACTAGAAAATCACCAAAATGTCTGATACTGCAGTATACAAACTACTGGTACACAATGTTGATAGCCTTTTTTAAATAAAATATTTAAAATTTGGTTAGAAATTTAAAATGACACATTGATACTGAACAGTGACTAAATATATCAAATAAGTTGTCCATTATCGCATTCTATAATTTATTCCTACCAACTATAAAAATAGATGTATTATACGATGGACAACTATATAATATTTTACTTAATACTGTACGGTCATCAACATATTGTGTTACACTGTTACTTTACTGAGCCTGATAAACATCGTTAATATAATCGATTTTTCAATACAGGCTCATTTCTAATTGAAAAAGGAGATTCAATAAACATTTTTTTATCTATTATGGCTAAAAAGGCCATAATAAAAACTATCATAATTTTCTAGAAAAATAAATGCATCATTGCCTAAAAATCATGAGCATTAACGTTATTTTCTAGTCAATATTGTATATAGTTTAATTTGAATGGAGATATCGTTAACTGTAAATGGCTATAATATATTATATTATACTATAGTCTATAGTCATCAACTTTAATTATTTATTCCTTAATTTAAGTCTTTGACGGTAACATAAATGTATATATAAATGTTTCTCGATTATTTTAATCAATTATATCTGCTGAGCTGCACGGTTTAAAAATCAAATATCTACACTTAATCATATTTATATCACCTCACCTATGATGTTTTATAATATTTTTTGTATAACTCGTATAGGATTACGACTATAATATAGTATATACCAATTGTGTATGTGAATATAATAATATATTATGTTTAAATATTTTTTAAATCGACTACAAATTGTAAACATACATATTATGAGTACCAATAGACTTTCGTATAGCGGAAACTTATATACTTCTATAATATATATACATATATATATTTATATTTGTATTTATTTGTTTTTCATAATTAGAAATGTATAGAACGGAATAATTTAGGTAAAAACTATTTTTATTATATTATCTGACGTCACTTTTTCAGAAAATTTAGAGATCAGTGCTCCAAAAGTTTCAAGCACATATAACAATTGGAAATAATATAAAAATTATGAATTTATCTGAAGAACCACTAAATTTATAGATACAGGCTGTCAAATTAAAAGTACCTACATAAGTATAGTAAGAAAATTGTTCTTAAGATAAAGAACTGTTGCGTCATATTATTCAACCTTATATTAATATAAACATTTCAATTAATAAAGTACAGATAACAGATGAGTACAATAACTTTTAACAAAATGAAATAATAACTATTAAATTATAGTATAGTAAATATTAGTAAATATACCTTTATATAACTTAAAACCATGAAGTAAGATATACTCATATACTTCAGTTCATGCTTAAAACTGCAGTTTTATCCAAAGATATACTTATAGTGGGGGTGGGAGGGCTAGGGAATTATCTCCAAGCCCCGAAATTCCTAAGTAGGGCTCTGGTTATATCACTAGGACGCCACCTATATACGGATATAGGTTCTTTACATTATAACTATAATGAATTATAAAAATGATGAATATGTTGTATAATAATAGGTGTACATAATATAATATGTAAGCCACGAATAGAATAGTATTGAAGTTAAACAAACTTAAATAATGATTCATTTTAGTTATTTAAGGATAAGTTAGACGTTAATTAAACTTATAAATCATTAAGCCATGTATACAACTTCGAATTCGGGGGAGAATAGGAATATAGGATGCTCGAGCACTCCCTGTCGCAGTATTATAAATTACGTAATATAAAATAGATAGGCATATTTAACCGATTTTTTAACCTAGCACTCCCCCTCCCCGTTTTGCACTCCACATTTTGTTCTGGACCCGCGCCTGCACTTATACTCATTATATTAATAATTTATATTTAATATAGGGGGTATTCCATTGGAATTCTTATAAAGTATAGGTATAGACTGTTTTTTGAAAATAAATTTGAACCGCATTTAACTCAATGATAAAATATAAAAGCTATAGTATGGGAATATTTTACATTATCTATGGCCCAAAAATTAAGATACAATTTTAATCAGACAGCTAGTAAACACTATATCACAAAAATAAAATATACCTATGTATATTTTCTAGTTGCATTATACTTTTTGTTATTTGTTTAGTCAATCTGCTGGCTGATACACCTAAAGCGTTTAAACGTATATAGCTAAAAGTAATCATTATACAGAATATAATTTCAGTAGATTAATTTTGAATATTATATAAAATTATAAATATATATGTATATTTAGTGCTTATAGTATTGTGTATCATAATGATCAATATCGAATATGCCAGAGGTGGCTATAACTTTAATAGACTTGTAATCAACCTCTATGTTTTTTAGGCTGTCGCGATCGACCAAAAAACAAAAAAAATTGTCGGTAGACAAAAATATTTTTTATATTGGTATATTTATAAAGGAGTGTTACACTTCTTTTATTTTTTTTTTATTTAGAAAATCAATAAGAAGTAATAATAACGTTTAACTTCACCGTTCTACACAGCAAAATTACAAAACATAATATGGTGTATTTGATTTTTAAAAAAAATTCTAGAAAAGGTGAAGAGAGTCACGATCGACTTGAACTGATCTCGCGAACAACAAGTTATTAGCGTTTTCCATCACTGGAATATGCAGTGCTATTAGATTGCTTAAAGAAAATAAGAAAACCCATATAGGTGACATACAACAAAGAAAGTATTTCAAACCATTAATTATTTACATAATTTTTCCCTTGTCTGCAGTGTAACATATCACGTATTGAATGGAATTTTCGACTCTGTTACAAGTTGATGAAAATGTTCGATTTAAACAATCAGAGCAATAGCGAATGACCTTGCGATCCGGTCCCTTAAATGTGTTACGACAAAACCTCGTCAGTATAAAAACTAAAAAGCTTTATAAAACTTCTCATCAATATGCATTATATATTCACCTATATTATTTATGCATAATTGTATCAAAAATAAAACGTTTATACAATTATTACCTAAAACTTTCATTTCAATTGTATAATAAGGGGAATGCTCAACTAATATTTACTTAAGAAGTGTATAAAAACCAAATTTTAAAATATAGCTTGAACATAATTTTTTGTTATGTGGGGTATAAGGGGAGAATATGTCATGGGTTATAGACTCTATAGTTATTTATATCATCCTGAATACCAAATAAGTAAAGTTAAAATAATAATAATAAATTAATCATTTTAAAGTTTGGTATAGACTTCAGTCAAAAACTTGTACAGATTATAAAACTCCATAAATGCATAGTATTAATCAAGTCATATTATAATAGTTGTTTATATGGTAAAAATACTA